TTGATTGATTTATTTAATTTCCGACTAATTAAAAATTTACGTCCGATCCATTGAGTGAGGTGCTTGAGAACGGCCTTAGGCTGAAAATTGAAATTACACCCTTGCGCGTTATTTCGCGGTTATACGGTATATCAGCTTGTATGAATTTAAATTTAAATTGTGCAGAATTTGAATGTAAACTTGTACGAATTTTAAAGTCAAGTCGAATGTTTTGTACGAATTTAAAAGTCAATTCGAATGTTAACTTGTACGAATTTAAAAGTTAATTTGAATGTTGACTTGTACGAATTTGAATGTTGACTTGTACGAATTTGAATGTTGACTTGTACGAATTTGAATGTCGACTTGTATGAATTTGAATGTCGACTTGTATGAATTTGAATGTCGACTTGTACGAATTTGAATGTCAACTTGTACGAATTTGAATGTCAACTTGTACGAATTTGAATGTCAACTTGTATGAATATGAATGTCAACTTGTATGAATTTGAATGTCGACTTGTACAAATTTAAATGTTAACTTGTATTGGATACCAAATGATTTACTATCATAGTGCAGCACTATATGATTGGCCTACTATTTAAGATTTTTAAAATTTTGTCGATCAATTTATTAAAAAAACTTATAGTAGTTTTATAATAAATACCGCATATTTTTAAAATGTTCTAACTCTCGCACTAGCAGAGCAAATTCAATTCTGTAAATTGCGAATGGTATACAAATAGGATGTTTTTAAATCTATGTTGAGATATTTTTCATTTCATTTCATTAATTTGGCTAGAATTACGAATTAATAATTATTTTAACTATTAGGTTATAGAGAACTACCAAATTTACATACATATTAGTATTAAATATGGCAATATAGTTTAAAAGCACATAATTTATATGCCATTTACATGTTACAGAATTAGATTTGCTCTACTATAACGGGAGTTAGAACGTTTTAATGGTATTATTTAAACGATTAAGTTATAGAGACCTACTAAAATTTATATATTAGATTAGATATAACAACATAGTTTTAAAACCACACTGTTTATATCATTCGCAAGTTACAGAATCGAATTTGCTTTACTAGAAAGGGAATTACAACATATTAAAAATACATAGTTTCTTATTATAATAAATTTTTTTAATAAATTGATCGACAAAATTTTAAAAAATCTTACATAGTAGGCCAATCACATAATGCTGCACTATGATAGTGAATCATTTGGTATCTAACACCCAATTAACTTGTATGAATTTGAATGTCAACTTGTACGAATTTGAATGCAACTTTCACGAATTTGAATGTCGGCTTGCACGAATTTGAATGTCAATTTGTACAAATTTGAATGTCAACTTGTATGAATTTGAATGTCATTTTGTATAAATTTAAATGTCATTTTGTATGAAATTATCGCTCTTTTCGATTTAGTTGGATCGACGATCTGCATGAATCCGTAAATACAAGATAGATAACTACTTTATGTTTGTCGTATTTTTTTTTAAATTTATTTATTAATAAAAGGGAAATATAAGAATTCTAAAATGAGTCCCACAAAATACGACGAAGTTGAGGCGATACTCTTATTGCAATTACAGGACTCACGGATCTCAAAAAAAATTATGCAGATTGTCGATCCAACTAATGTCAAAAGGGATAATAATTTACTCAATACTATGACTTTAAAATTTATATAAATATGATAAAATTTTAACATGCTTAAAATTGAACTTGAGACAATTTAACAATGAATAAACAATCTCTTAACTTACTTTTGACCTTTCTTTTTTCTTATTTGTTAATATCAATCGTCCATTCATATGAACAACGTACCACCACTACTATAACAATAACAGCAACAGCAACCTGCTCAGATACAACACCTACTCCTGAACTTAGTTGCTCCACAAATAGTTACGATCAAAAAAGCTATCAAAAAAGAAATCATCGCCATTATCTAAATCCAGAAAAAAAACACAAAAATCTAAATCCACATAAAAAACGCAAAAATCTAAAGCCGGTTAAAACTATAAAAACGATTACTTGTACCCTTACAGAAACTGTATGCACGTATCTACCTTGCGTAGATAATGGTGGGCTATGTAAAGATACTTCTGAATGCTGTTTTGGTCTATCTGGCAATAGATACTGTAATTCTGGGACTTGCGTCTCAAGTTAATCTATCAACAGGTCTTTGTAGATAAACGATATCAAGGATAATTTTAGCTTAACTAAATTTGAACCTCTTATTCTATTCCTATTACTTTGATAAAGCCCAATTACAATAATCTAAGAGTTTATTGAAAAAAGAAGAGCGTAATGTTCAAATGGAAATTTCCTAATCATAAGACATAAAAATTATACTTCATAAATCAATTTAGCTTAGTTAATAAAAATTAAATTGTTTAATAATATTTCGTATGTTTTTCTTAGGGGAAGGCAAGAAAACACGTGTTTTCTATTTTATATAAGGCTACCCCTCCTCCCCCCTGGTGATCTCTAATTTTTTTTTTATATATAGATCTGTTATTTTTAAAAGGACCCCTCTCCCCTTGAAAAACACGTGTTTTCTGGCCCTCCCCTTACGTGAATAAAAACTTTTTAATTGAACAGTAAATACTTGCGTAGTAATATAATTTCATTACTTGGATCATCGTTAATTTTAATCAAATCAAAATTTGAATTTGAATCAAATTCAGATTTTTGATTTGATTTTGCGGAGTACTAGGCGTACCTCAGTTAAAATCGCCACCAAAAAAATTTCAAGTAAAAATTTCAAGATGTTGGTTAGGTCATTAGAATAGGGTTCGAGAGGATTACTAATACAAAATTTCGAAAGGAATTTTTTTATTGATTAAGTTGTGAGCGATTTAAATTTTGATTTTTTTTTTTTTTTTTTTTTTTTTGCGCTTCCTTTACGTTACAAGAAATTTTATCCCTGTTTGCTTTTGGGGATTTACTAATTTCTCCAATTGACTAATACAATATCGTTTTCCATTAAAACACTGCTAAAAATAATTACATATTGATTAAATTTATCTTAAAATAATTCTTTTTGCTGTTTAATACTAAGTTTTGCTCTTTTGAGCATCAGCACTTAAGTAAATTATTTTCATGTGATCTATTAAATAAATTCTCGTCAATTTAATTTTCTGTATCATGTAAAATTTTTAATTGAAATCTGAAAACAAATAAGTATTATGATAAATTTTTTTTTTTTGTTTTTAATTTTGTCTTTTTTTTTTTTTTGTAAGTGTATTAAAATTCAGCAACTTACTTATCAGTAACATTTATTTTCAGTATTACTAATTAGCAAACTAGCAGCTATTGCAGAATTGTATGTATCAGGGTCACTGAACTATTTCCGAAAGTGAAAGAATATAATACTGACTAATTATTTCCTTTTGGAAAAAGGACTATTAAAAACTTGAATTACATTATGTATTAGTATTATAAAATCAATTAATTAGCAATTTCAGTAGCATTTTATTTATTTGCAGTATTGTAAAAATGAACAGGAAACATTTCAAATATTCGTGCCATTTTTTAAACAAGGTAAAAATCACGGTCCAGATATAGTTAAGGAATTTGAAACAGAGTTGGATATATTTTAAATTTTAAATTTTCAATCTTGTAAACGTAGGTCCCGAAAAAATTTTATTCTCTTGAAAATAAAGTACGAACAAAATTTCATAAAAATTTTCTTGGTTGTATCAGAAGCACTTAATTTTAGTATTACGATTTTCTTTTTTATTAATAGAAAGAATTCTGGAAGTGCATAAATAATACTTTCGCTTTATAATTTTTTTTTTTTTTTATTGAAGAACAATGTTTGATTTTGCAGCTGTACTAAGGTAGCGTGATCTAGTTATCATAAAAAAAATAGAATTTGTAAATCACTTATTTCAAAACAAATACGTCAATAATTTAATTAGAAACTAGAATCCTGAACATTAATTCTGAATAACCTAATATCATAAATAAATATTTCGAAATTTAACATATTATTTGAAAAAAAATTACTAATTTTTATTTTCTTTCACTTATCGTTTATTTCTGCCGGTCACTTATTTATCAAAGCAATTTTTGTATAGGAATGTTTCTTAAGTTATCAATCACTTTTGTAATTCTCGAGTATTCACTAAATATTGTATAATAAATAATTAAAACATAAGAAAATGAAATGAAAAATTTTTAATTAAAATTAAAAATTATGTTAAAAGCTAAATTTTATATTTAAGCCTCAGAGACATAAATAGCTTTTAATATCAAGAACTTCTTCACACATTACCAGATATTCAATACGTAATATCTTTTCACATGAAATTGAGCAATTAGTGCATAACCACCTTAATAATCTGATTTCAAGAGTCACCTCATTGTTTTCACAAATTTTAACAATCATCAATATACTAAAATTTTCGTTGGACAGACATTATTATTTGCGTAATATTTTGGGTAGGGATTTCAGAATTAGTGAATCGATATCTCAAATAACCGACATTTTATTTAAAATAAATGACCTATATATATCTTTTTTTTTTTTTTTTTTGGAAGTATATTAATTACATAGTTGCTTACCAGTAGATATTTTTCGAAAAAAAAAAGCGAATTTTATTTTCTGATTCGGAATTATAAAATAGAAATTAGGAATTTAAATTACCATTTTTTCGAAATAAGTTAATTCTGACTTCCCATTTTTTATTATATCGTGTGCTTTTGTACAATATATGAGATGACAACCAATATTTTTTATTACAGTATCAAACATACCCGTCGTTCAATGACCAAATTTATATTAAGCGGATTGTACAAACTATATATGTATTAGTCGTATTTTAAAAGTCATATTATCTATGATTTGTGTTATATTGAAGAAATTTTGTTTAGTTTATACTACATAATTTATGACAGCCTACACTCATCAAGTTTATGACACTATTTTCTGATCGATCGATCTTTTGCAACCAACACTATTTATGTTATTTATTAGCTACATTTTGAGAAATAGCTAGCAGTTCTTAAATTTTAGATTCAAAACTCAGCTTCTGTAAGCAATCACTGCATGGTTCATGAAACTTTAAGTGTGATACAATACTAATTTACGGGTAAAATATATGGGACAGTGCACTGAACAACACATCCAAAGCACATAAAAGTGCGGATCATGTAACACTACATATTGGCATACGATTTTTACGTATTTACCACTACACACACTTCTTTTTGCATGCTTTAATCATAATTTCCATAATTATTTCGTATAATTGCAGTTTAAATTTAAACTTCTGTATGACATTAAATTACGTGATTTAAACGTGCCAGGTTTTATATTTTTGGCATGCCTTCGATTTTTCTATTGAGTTTTTAGATCAGAATTGTTCATTATTTTCCATATTCATAATAATCTATTGCTCATCCAATTAATTTATATTGATTTTTCAAGACATAAAAATTATACATAACTTATATATTTTTTCATAAAATTTTGCCATCATTTGTTACGTTCCTGGTTTCAACGCGAGCACGTGTCGCGCAGCTATCTAATTTAAATTAATCAAAATGATTGTGCAACATCTCAATCACTAGCACATTTGAGGACAGGAATAGCTAAATAAAGCGGAGGCAAATCATGTGATAAACAGCCAATCAAATTATAGAATTTTGATGATCACCGGCGAAGTAAAGCAAGAAATAAAAACTAAAACTTGAAAAATACAAAAACGGCCCTAAATACAGTCTAGGATTATACGCGATATGGAAATGATCTGCAAAAATATTAGAAGGGTATTCTAAAACCCGATTTCAATTGAAAAAACAATAAGGATAGCTGCGCGACATGCGATGCCGCGCAGGACCAGTACGATCAGGTGTGTAATATTCATATGCACTATTTAACATATTTTAGTATGTTTC